ATCCAAAAAAGGAGTAAAAAATCTGCCAAAGGTTTGGATGAAAAAACATGGTTAGGTTTTGACTCAAAAAATGAAGTTAATAAAATGGGTGCATATATGTCTATTTGTGTGCATACGGGTAAGGGGGATCAGTTTATTATATTAACTTTCAAGAAAGTAGACAATTTATGTTCACAAAGTCATGTAAATCAACCGATAAACTATACTAATACTTGAAGATTTTACTTATAAAATTGATAACTAAAAGGTAGTATATTTATTTTTATTCGACAAATTGAGCTTTTTGAAGTATTTTCTTATAAAATCGATAACTAAAAGGTAGTATATATATTTTTATTCAACAAATTGAACTTTTTGAAGTATTTTCTAATGTCGTTTTGTAAAGTTCTGGCAAAAGAAAATGAAATATTGGTTTTTTTTTTAAAGAAATTCTATCGGGATTTTCAGGAAACGTAAAGCACGATAATTTTTTTTTGAAGCAAGCAAAAAAGGCTAGAATTATTTAATACTTTTGTAGATTGAAGATAAACCTCCATAAAACAAAGGCCTAATAAAATCTTGTAAAAAAAAGTCTTTTTTTTTTTTTTTTCCAAATATCCTGGAGTTTCTTCTCACAAACAAATGAAAGAAAATTTAAAAATCTAGAAAAAAAAAAAAAAAAAAAAACATTAATAAATAAATAAATAAAAATCTAAATAGTGAAATACATGTAGCAGGTTGAAGATAACAACTACTAGAGAGGAATCCCTAAAAAAATCTTGGTAACACCTGATTTTAAAAAACTTATGAACTTTACATGCTAGAGCTCTTCGGATTTTCTGGGAACTTGTGTTGCATATCCGTTAAAAGGCTCCAGTGTGGAGCCTCAAATTGTACTATCTAAACGCCTCAAATTGTACTATCTAAACACTTAACCCCCCTCCCCCAACCCCACCGATCTCAAAAAAATTGAAAAAAAAACAAGTTTGCCCTTCCCTTTTTAACCTACCAATTTTACACTCCGGCACGTATGGAATGTACTCCGGAGAATAGTTCGCTGTTAAATAGGCAGTCCGGCACCCGTAAAACGTGCTTCGACATCTTTAGAATTCACTCTGGCAATTGATGAACTCGCTCGGGCAAATAGTTAGCTGTAAAATAGGCACTCCAGCACTTGTAAAACGCACTCCGACACCATTAGAATGCACTACGGCATGTAGTGAACTTGCTCCGGCGGGTAGTTCACTGTAAAATAACAACTCCAGCATATGAAGAACATCGAACCGACAGTTTCCTCCCTGGAAATTTTTCAATCCGGCGATTCACCGCATCACCCCGCCGATATGCTTCTTGGAAACACCGGCACTCTGGCGAATACACTGAAGTAGTCCGGCATAGTTGAATATGGCTACGTCAAATAGTTCGGAGTTTTGAAGCTTCAATCCGACAATTACGTTCTTGGCGGGTCAGTCAGATCATGTCTTTGAGCGGTCTGGCGATTTGTTTAATGTGCAGACCGGTGATTTGTAATATAACTTTGGTAATGTTACTACTGGAGTGGGTTTAGTCCGGTGTTTTAGATATTCAATCCGGCATATTGTTGTCTCATAAGCACTCCGGTAGTTTAGAAACTCAATCCGGTGAAAGGTTTATTGGCGTTTGAAGGATTTAGTTGTATGTTCAAGGTACAGGAAGGGATATTTTTGTCAAACAAAATATACTTTTTTCAGTTGGGGGGTATTAGTTAAAAAAGATGGTTTTTACCAAAAAGAAGTGGGAAAAGATTTGGGGGGGGGGGGAAGGTATAATTTGGGATGTTTTTATTAATTTTTCCTTATTTTTATACAAATTTTAAGATTTTTGGATAGAAATCAAGACCGGGGTTTTTCGCCAAAGAAAACCAAAAAAAAAAGAATTTATGAACTTTATCCAACTTTTGCTATAGAAGTCATATTTTTTATATTTTTGGATTTTTTTTTTTTTTTGTTTGATTTGGAACCTTGGTAGGAATGGAACTCTAAATCAGCACCCCGCCATTGTCAATACCAATATTAGTGGTAGAATGAAGAATGATTCCAAAAACATTTCTTGGAAATTTTCAAATTTTCTTCGCTTCAGTTTAGGAGCAGGAGATTGCGGACTTTGTAATTTGACCCATTAAAGCAAATTTTGGAGTTGGATTGGTTTCGCTTTGATTCCAAACAAATTGAACAAGCCCGGAACAACCCGGGTCCTGAGCTACTAAATTTGGACCAAGGGAGAGGGAGAGGCCAATCCTAAAATCCAAGTTCATTGTTCAAACCGGTCAGGACACGTGTCATGATCCTACCCAGACAGTTTTTGTTATGTTTTCCATGAATTTAAAGAACAAGAAAAACGTTTCTACATCCAACCCCATTCGTAGGGCTGGCCTAGGCTACCTAACACAAGTAGGGTCGGGCTTGTGCCAGGGCCCCTTTGGCAGGTTAAGGCCAGGCCGGTCTTTTAAGATAGTGGGCCTGGCTCAAACTTGGCTTGTCTGGCCCAAATCCAGCTCATTTGCCCCTTTAGGTTTAATAGTTGACACTAGTGACTTTGCGGCTTGGCCGAATCGAAACAAATATGATACAATCAGTTATACATATTTGTTTATGAAAACCAGTGATATTCAGAGCATGTCAACAAACAAAAGTCAGTCGTGTTATATGTTGACAATGCCAAATCGTATTTAATTTTCCGGACTCTTTTTGCATCACGTAGTAACTCAAAATCACCATTTCTCATTTCCAATGTCACTAATTTTGTACTTCAAGGTCCTTGAATTTCCACTCAGCTATGTATTTTGCAAGTGAAGGGATAATTTTTAGAATTAGCATTTTTTGATGTGAGTCTCAATCTTTACTACCTATTTCTTGGTATTTTTTTAAGGGAAAAATGTTAAAAGTGTTATTTCAAAAATCTTTCAAAACTTTGGTCCTTTGTATGTGAATTGATGTGATTATTGGTTATCCTGTTACACAATTTTAGCTGATGAACAATTTAATAACTATGCATTTACCCCAGAAAAATATTTAATAAATACGGACGTCTAGAGATGAAGAGTCAAAACTCATCAAATCTGAGATACATTATCCAATCACATTTTAAGATGGGGAAAGAATATTATCTCTCTATGTATATGATGTACTCGGGTAAGGCTAATCATGTGCTCTAGATCTTGATATTCCCCTCCATTTCAATATGCAAGTTTAGTATTCACTTTTTGTTTTATTGCATCCTTCACTTTTTGTTTTATTGCATCCTGCTTGGAAAACCTTTATGTACATTGATTTATCATATTATTTAGTAAAGGGTGCGGTTTCTATAAGGTTACATACTTAAACAATCCAACTAAGGCACACCTTCAAATTTTATCGTGAAAAAAATTCTTACGATTATCTGAAAATCTATTTTTATATCTAATTATAAAATCTTAAACTCTAAAAATAGTTAAAATCAAACAGATCTATAAAGATATGAAAATCTTGAAAATGGATAGTCTAGATAATGTGTTGCAAAATGCACTATTGTTAGGATTCAAAATCTTTTTTTTTTTTTCATATCCGTACATCTCGATGTCGAGATGATCAATTAGAAGGTCTTTCAGCATTAAAGCAACCTGATGGATTTTTTAGGTGCATCCTTGATTCTATATTTTAAGGTCGCAACAATATTTTAACTTTTTCCTTCAGTAAATTGTTTTGGCCATTGCCCTCTTCACTAACACCATTGTCCACAATACATGTGCTTTTTGGTCACCATCGACTCTCCAAACTTCATATGGGTCAGAAAATACTGCATGTAGTCCACTGTTTCAAATCATGATTCAGCTTTGTTAACGATGAATCTAGCTGGACCAACATAGTATAAGCATTCTTATAAGAGGAAAGCTCATTATTTCATAGCATGCAACCATGAAACTGGTTTGGAGATCATATTAAAGATGGAACACCATATGCATTGCATCTTATCAGTGTTCGAAAAAATCAAACCGGCCTCGACAACTGGCCAAAGGCCGGGTCCGAGTAACTGGTAAATCGAATACAAAACAACTCTAAAAAAATATAAAAATTATATTTAAAACATGATTAATCAAAGAACATCCAAATGAAATTCAAAAGTAGTAAGAACAGTAAATTTTAAAAAACACTATCATTTACACCATGTTTGGGCAAATTTGGGTATAATACCTTTCAATGAGGACAATTTCAAGGCCACCCAAATTTGCCCTTGAGCGCCCCTTCAGCAAGCCTAACAAGGAATGGCCGAGGATGATGAACCACTAACGTAGAGGCTTCGCGTATTACTTTTTCCCAGTTGTGTAGAAAGTGACCTGAGTCGATTACTCCAAGTAACTCGGCCGTTTAGTGCTAAGTACTAGAGCAGCCACAAAAAAATAATAATAATAATAATAAAAACAAAAAGAGTTAAGTTCAAAAAGATATTTTCAAACTTTGCAAAACATACCAATCCATCCAATTTAACATCCTAGTTTCAATTGTGACCTTATATAAATCGCCTCACAGTACACAATCCTTTGCACAAATAGATAATTCTAACACTTAGATTTAAAATCAGAAGGATGAGCGTGTTATCAAAGTTCAAGAAGAAAAAAATCTCAAGCCTGTGTGACATAATTTAAGCTAATTTGTTAGGATTAATTGTAACCTCCTTATTCCAAAGATAAAGGGTCTCATAGCATACAATTGAAAGCCTCCAAATGCACTCGGAGACAATCAGCTTGGGGGCTCCAAAAAAATGTTTCAAAACCCTAAACCGACATATCCACCCAGACGATATCCCCCAAAAAAAACTCCAAATTCCCAAATTCACCCAGCATTAATTAAAATAGAGCTAAACACCCGGTAACATGAAGAACTTTTCTTTTACACTGCAGAGAGATCGAGATTTTTAGCCACCATTGAACCTCTTGTATTACCATGCAAACAAATAGTCACATCATCATCTCATGCTCATCCCTAACCTCAGCTTATCAATGCATAGAAAATCATCAACATTTTAATGCATTGTATAATGGACTAATATAAAAATAATGAACTCAAGAAAAATCCTGTCTTCATGTAGCAGTGACCTACATGTCTAAAAGTTCACCAAAAATCTTAATCCCTTGATTATGGAACAACATTCAAGTTTTTTCAGGTTTCTCACTTCTCAGCAACTACAAAAATTCAGTAATGCAAAATAAAGAAAATCTAAGGACTTCTAACAGGTCCTGCACAGCCTCCACTCCCTCAATCAAACAAGCTGAAACCCATGTCCTGCACATTTTTCCACAACACAGAAAAGAACATCAGTGATGACACAATCACAAGTAAAAATAAAAATTACTTTTACCCAGCAAACACAATTTATGAATTTTTTGCACATTTCTTTCTCTCTTTTTGTTTTGGGCCAGTGGGAAAGACCATTTCTCACACACAACAAATGTTGATAAATTTGTAAAAATATACAAGGGACTGTCCACAAAGAGTTGATTTATTTGGAAGTCCTAGATTTTTTTTTTTTTGGAACTTTGTGTCTATTCAATGACACTCTTACAACCACCCATTTTGTAATTCAAGGGACAAGAGTGGTTGAGACCTCGTCGTATAAAAGCTAAATGGTCTAGTTGTATAGATTTCAAATATACAATAGAATATCAGTTTGAAGAGAACCTAAAACTCATAAAACATTTCTTCATTGCTCTATCATAACCATGTCAACTTTTGAAATAGAGAAAAATACCTATTTCTTTTCCTTCTTAATAATCAGAAAAGACCTATTCCTCACACTCAACAAAGGTAGTTTCTGTGATAATATAGAATACGAGTTTGAGGAAACTTACATCATCTGATTCTTCCTTCTCCTCAACCTTCTCCTCTTTCTTCGCCTCAGGAGCTGCTGGCGCAGCAGCGCCACCCCCGCTGGCAGGTGCAGCAGCTGCAACCGCCACACCACCACCACCACCACCACCAGATGGCACTGATGCCAACTTCTCCCTTCCAGAAGCAATCAATTCAGTGATGTCCTTTCCCTTAACCTCCGATAAAAGGTACTCTATCCTTTCTTCATCAGCATCAGCTCCAACTACAATTTCAGAAAGCAATAAAAACATGACACAGCAAAAGTTTGATAAGATTCATTGGCCCAACACTAACGTACCATTTCTTGAAAAACGAATAACATAAATAGCTGGAGGTCAATAAGAATCATTGTTCAAAGTCTAAATCACAATTTTAAATCCTGAAAAGAACATAGCAAAGATGCTCTTACAATTCCTTGAATGAAAAAGACAGTAAAATATCAAGAAGAATCATTCATTAGAATCTAAAACCATTATGTACCCAACATACATTGGAAGATCAAATATATTCTCCATAAAAAAAGCCAGATGATTCATAATAATGGAAAAAAAAATACGCAATCATATTCTGGATGATTTATGTCAAAGGAATACAAATGTGCAATACTAATTTGGATTTTGCAACTTATCTGAATGCTGAGTGGAATTATATAGTAAAACTTTGATAAAATATAGCTAAGATAACCATATCTTTCAAGGGCAGTGGATTAAGAGGCAAAGGAAAAGACACGCCCCCATCTCCTCAATATATGAATTCCTTCATGCTATTTTTTTCATGTTTTTTAACTCATAGATATTGTTCAAAGATTAGTATCTTAACACCTTCTGGCTTCCTTCTGTTATATTTTTTTGCTTTTCTCCATGTTTGTATTTGATGGGAATCTGTGAAATTTATTGTTCTGGTTCTTCATCAGTATATAAATTTTATGGAGAGAAATATTGGTGTGATACCCCCACAATCATCAATGTGCAACTGCCTGTGATTCATACGTGAAGAGTAATGTGAAAAGGTCATATCTAATGAGATTAAGATGGAATTTTTATCTTCTCTGGAAGTAGATATGTAAAACTTGGTGCTTTTATACAACCTGATTAAGAATCTAAGAGTAACATAAATGACACCTAAGCACAACAAGGCAGAGTAAATAAAAATTGAAGATAAGATAAAAAGGCAATGCTTGATGCAATAAATATTTAAGGAAAAATAAAGAGTAAAATACTGAGAAGCCTATTTATATGAAGGTGACCAGACAGTAAAGAGCTACTCGTAGCATGCACTAGATTTATCATATCTTTCTCCAAGGCCATTGAGCCCACGCAAGACCTTGGTAGGTTATTCACGAAGGTTGCGGTTTCTTCTTTTGTCGGTTTTACCTAGTCTCAACTTATAATTCACCTATAGACTCTGTAATCATAAAACTTTGGAACTCATTTGCTGTGTTTAGATTATATCTTCAGTTTCTGGGCCTTGTATTGTCCCCAGACAACTGGACTCTTATCAGATGAACTTCTATATCCTTGTCACAATCTGTCACTTGTTTGATGAATATCACTGTAAGGACCGTCTTCAGGATTTGACATCCCTCATGATTATATTAAGATCTCATTACTACCTTTCAGTCAGGAACAGATATTAATTCTAGACCTTTAAAGCCCAAAAACACTATATATATAAATAAAAGAAAATAGACAAACTTTTATGCTACAAAGTACAGACATCAAAGGCTGTTGTCCTAGTTATTGAGTGACTCCACATGCAAGCTTATTAGCTTGGGAGAGAAAACTAAAGCTCTTTTTGTCTAGACCTAGTAAACAACCACCCTATTACTCTGTGATGCTCCTCCATGCCTATTCACATTTGTCAATAAACTATGCAGATATTGTTATTTCAACCAAAGGAACCAGAGTTTTATCAATAATCATGAGTGTTGAAGAAAGGTCGCACTGAGTTACCCTTTCATATCTCAGAATAAGTAAAGATTCTGACAGAGTTCACAAGCATGTATTTCGTTGTGTGGGTCAGAGCAAACAACTGGGTTTGGATCTTATAGTTTATTTCTGGGCAATGCATAGAAACTGTCCTTCCTAAGAAAAATATGGAATATAATTGGTTATGAATGTGGTGCTTACGAAAACAACAGTCAACTTTTGGAAGCCTTGGGAGATAAATGGGGTTTGATGTCCCCCTAAGTGTACAAATTAGTACATGAACAAGCGAGGGGATTTTTACTTTCCTTTTCAAATTCATGGTTCAGAGATATAGAATGAACAGGCCACCGAGCGACCCAAAACTAATCCCCAAATGCATCCAAAAAAAACAACTACATAAACAACGAAAAAACAAACCCATATAATGAATCAGTGAATATGAAAGGCCAAAGAAAACAAGGAGTGACGTGATTTATAGGATCGTCACAAATGGAGATAGTAACCTAGATTTCCCAGTAGAAACAGTAAATGTTTAACTTCTAAAAAAGAGTGAACCTGAAAGAAAAGAACCTATATTTCATTAAAAAAATACCACAGCAATAAACAGTGCAAAGCTCATCACGTAATTCAGAAGCCAAAAAAAAGGCATAGAGACTAAATTGCAGATAGAATTCGTGCATCAAATTTTTGATAAGAAAAACAACAAAAAAAAGTCGCGTATTTTCCCTTGCACAATCACAAATCCTAACTCTCCAGGATGTAAAATATATACATAGTGAATAACCAAGATTTGCATATAGAAGCAGTAATCAGAAAGACACAGAGTGGTCATTAGAAGTCGCAACTTCCTCCAAACAAGCATATAATAGAAAATAGACTGGATCTACATTTACAGATCCAAATATTCAACTACAAGCGAGAAAATAAAAACACACACATCAGAACTCCCTTACACAATCATAGAATCAAAGGTTTATAAAGAGAGATGCAGATAGAGAGATAGAATAACCTAGATTTGCAGAGAGAAATAATAAATAAAAAAAGGATTAAAATGTAAAAAAAAAACAGCTAAACGTAGCAAAAATCAGAGAATCAAAAGTTCCATAGATTTAGTTTGACACCTGATCCAAGAATTTTTTTGATATCATCAACAGAGGGCTGTGCATTTCCGCCCAACACAGCGAGCAAATAAGAAGCGACGTACTTCATTTTTGAGTGTTCAATGTATGAATAGAGGCTAATTTGAACAGAGGCAGAAATTAGGGTTGCAAGCGTCTCTCTGTTTAAAAGGAGCTTAGGGTTAGGGTTTTTGTACTCTACGAAAGAGAAGGCCTCTATCTTCGTTTATAGCTTTATATGGTTTACAACGGGGCTTAGGGTTAGGGTTTTTTTGGACTCCACAGAGGGAAAGCTCTAACCCCACCAACTATATGTGGCGCATCATCTAACCGGTCAGATTTGACTAGATGGATGAGATAGCGTGAGTCACGATGTCACAAGCCAGATTTTAACCGTTAGATCTTGATGGTTCGTTTTAGTTTTTATTTTTATTTTACAAATCTTTTTGAATTAAAATTTAGGGTATACACAC